AACTTTAAAATTTTTTGCACAATAAGTCAAATCTTTATCTCACTATATGGGATTATTTACATGAATCATTTCTCAATTGTATCATGTTACGAGCCAAATTCTCATTTAAACCTAATAAAGAAAAGCCGTCTCTAATATTTTCTAAGCAGGACATTTCTGATATTTGCAAAACTAAAGTGATTACTACAAATTAAACACAAACAATTTAGGCCAATTGGGACGGCTTAATAAGAGCCGTTTTCGTTTTAAAACATGAAAAATACTTTCAGTCACTGTTTGGAAGCCTACTTTTCGTAAGACTATTTTTTTTAAACACTCGTTATCTTACCGATTTCCAAAGCTTTTATTTTTTGCTTCTCTGTTTGCAAAAGATTTTTTCGGAACAACCGTTTCTCATCAAAATTTAACGAAAAAAAGTTCTGCTATCAAACGAGGCCTTAATGATAGTAGTAAGTGCTTAAACACTATCAACAAAGATAGCAAACAAGTGCATGCAAAACAAAGCAAATGCAACAATAAATAACAAAAAATTTATATTGTCTGGCCACCAGCCAAATCTGCCATCAATTCTAATGTAAAATTGAGTTAGAATTTCATTATGAAATTTGTCTCACAAATCTCCCTTCTCCAAACCATAGAAACGTAATAAGCCTATGTTCTCTCCTACATGGACTAGTACAACGTCCCAATTCAAAGTACAATATAAAAGTTACATTAACGAAACCAACTTCTATAAAGAAAAATAAAACCTAATTTAGATAACATGAGATTAAAACATTTTGTGAAAGAAAAGACCAAATATATAAATGTTGAATTTTATAAATAACTAATTTGATCACCTTATAATAAAATCAAACTTGCAATAATTTAATAAATTGAAGCTCACTGGATTTACAAAAAGAGAGATAAATTTATGTTTGAAACCTTAAAATAGTTTAAAACACAAAAAAGTATATGAAGATAGAAAAAATATTCAGCTCACTATTTTTACAATAGAAGATAAGGATTTCTAAGTTGAAGAAAACAGGTCTCCAAAATAATACAGCAGCACAAACAAGTTTTTTCCCTCACATATATATCCTAAGAATTATTGACACTACTCACTTATGTGAATTGCCTGCACTATAAGGGATCCAATATACTTCTCCTCCATTAGTGCCTTCTCAGTGAGATGTACAGGCTCGCCTAAAATGAAGCAGCTTTTAATAAGAATTCAAAGGTGTAGACAATCACGGCTACGAAATCATAATTATTTTTATTCTATTCTCACCATTTAGAAAGATATTCACGACTATGAAATCACTATTATTAGTGTTACTTCTGCAGATGTCATATAACTTCTTGCCTGACTTCTCTCACTATTCTTTGCCTGAATTTATTGGTCTCTAGGAAGTTGCCTTAAATCCTACTAAAACAAAGTTATGTAATATGATACTACTCTGGACAAAAAAGATGTTTAGTGAGTTCTAGCAACTGGGCCAACATTCTTAACTTAAGCATATATCTAAAAGGACCTGCTTGCATCCATGAATTAATGTGGCTTGTGCTACTACTGGTTCCAAATCTTTTACCTCAGGCATTTTGCATTGAAAATGAACAATGAAATTCCCTAGGAACTCATCATGCTTGTCACATATTGAGAAGCTCCTGATGATTTGCTTCCCAAAATTTGAACAGAAAGTAATACTCTCCAAAAAATAGTCGTGAGAACCAACTAAATGACCTCTCATAGAATATGGTAACGAATAGTCAGCAATTAAGCTCATCATTGATGTTCAATAGGTAAGTAGCCACCTCAAATAGACAATATGATTAACATTATTAGAATTCAAAACCTGCGGTTTTTTCTAGCTTGCGAGCTATCTTCTTCTCCCCATTCTTCGTATATTTTATCTCGGACTTTTATCTATTCTTCTCTCCATGGTTTCTATTCCACTATAACTTTCTTCTTTAAAACTACTGTAAATTTTAAGTTGTGTTGTGTCTTGTTCTATTATTTAAGATTTATGTTAATGAAAAAGAAAGTGTGCTTTTCTTTGAGTTCCTAGAGCAAAGTTTGTTTTAGGTTGAACCAATTTGGTATCAAAGCTTTAAGTTGTAGCATGAGTCTTTTTCTTTAAAAATAAAAAACAAAAAGAAAAATAAAAATGGACAACAATCAACAAGCCGAAGTTCCAATTCAATATATAATTAAGTATGTAGTTTGTGAAAGTCAACCATCTATTCATCATATTCTAGAGAATAACTTCCCAACAATATAATGTGTTACGCTTCAAGCAAATTCTACAAATCCAATTCAAAATGAAATACTCAGAGTGCAAAGACAACAATATTTATGTATTGAGAAGTATAAAAATAAGAATCTGCTAGTTTGGTTAGAGTTTGAACAAGAAAAAGAGAAGATAACAAGGAAATACGACTTCATGCAGAAAAGATAAAGATACTGGAGAAATTTTGAAAGATTGTTTTGCACAAAATTGTGATCTTATTACAAATGAAGATAAACCAACTGATGATCTTGTTCAAGATATTGTGGACATTCGTACTATCCAGACAAGACAAGGCGTGCACTGACGATTCTTGGTTAAATGGAGGGGACATCCTTTATATGATTATTCTTAGGTTGAAGCTAAGGAGTTGTAGATTCTTCGACCTGATATCTACCAGCGCGTTACCAAAGCTTTCTCATTAGGAGATGAGATTTTTCCACCGAGGGAGAATTGATGCAATCAAGAGTTGTCATTTTATGTTTTCTTTATTTTCTACTTGTGTTTCTAGCTTTCTTTTTCTGGTGACTTTACAGTTTTTTTTTCTATTGACCTGTAATTTTCCCTGTCGGACACTCGATTTCCTAGCTATCTCTTAGTTTCTTTGCTGAAATTTGCTTTCCTTGCTATTGGCTCTCAATTTCCCCTATGGCTTTCCTACTGCTGACTGCTTGGTTTTCCCTATGACCATTCAACTTCCTAATTGCTGGTTGTTTGTTTTTTCCCTTTGTTGATTTCCTATGATAAGTGCTTTAGTTTCTTATTATGAGGGCTCTCTTGAAGGGTTTCTATTGTTTGTTTTAGTGGCACATTTATGTGGTCTATTTAATACAATTTCTCATTCTTTCCCCTATAAATAGTGATTGATTTCCTTTGTTAAAAAGGAGCTTTGAAGAATTTTTGGAATGCGATCATTCAAATCCTACGGGTTTTTTTAGCTTGAAGGTGATCTTCTCCCTAATACAATTTCTCATTCTTTCCCTTATAAATAGTGATTGATTTCCTTTGTTAAAAAGGAGCTTTGAAGAATTTTTGGAATGCGATCATTCAAATCCTACGGGTTTTTTTAGCTTGAAGGTGATCTTCTTCTCCATATCTTTCTTATATTTCGTTTCAGACTTCTATCTATTTTTCTCTCCACGGTATCTATTCCGCCTGTATATTTTTTCTCTAAAATTATTGTAAGTTTTAAGTTGTGTCGTGTCTTGTTCTATTATAAGTTGTAAGTGGTGTTAGTACTGCTTTATTACTGTGTTTGTTTGAGTTATTTAAGGTTTATGTAAATGAAAAAGAAAGTGCGTTATTCTTAGAGCAAAGTTTATTCTTAGGTTGCATCAGGTACATTTGTTTTGCTAAAAGGTATGAAATAAGCCTAAAATTAGAGAGAGAGAATAAAAGAGAAATTAAGTTTACATATTATACTAAAATTTTATCAAATAGTTTAAACTAAGATGACTTAATTAAATAGATTGAAATATCCCAATTCATTTTCTCACGGCTACCTTTGAGTTCAGGTCGGAGTTTAGCTCAAGTAAGAGTACATATCAATAATATATTGTTAGACCAGTCCACTAGACCGATCTTGCCGATCCATACCGAACCGGCTTACAGGTGAAACAGGGGGAGGTTTTCCACCTCTTGTATGAAGGAGCCGACCGCCCAGGATTGACGGAGCCATTTTGAAAGGATTTTTGAGGGAGTTAAGAGGGAAATTTGAAAGTAGGGACTGTTTAGAGATTTCCTTTTGAATTGTATGCATTAAATAGTTGGATTTTCTAGGGTTAGGGCATCTTGAATTTGGCTGAAATTTGAGATCTCTTAGGTTTAGATTTTCTTTGGGCTCTAGCGGCGTCTAGAGAATCAGGAGAGATCGATCCTCCTCTCGAATTGAGGATCACTTGTATCTTGTTTGTTTTTCTTCCGTTAGTTGATCTTTCTCAATAAAGTGGGCTGTTTTTCTTTGATTTGTCCTCGTTGAGTATTCTCGCTGATTTTGTCAAGATCGTTAGATTTCACTTAAGATCTTCAAGTTTTTTCTATCAAATTGGTATCAGAGCACGTCAATCTAAGGGGAACCAACGGCCAAAAGAAAAGTGAAAGTTTTGGAGGGAGAACTTGGGCAACTGAAAGCCGATTTTGAGGAGAAGATTGCTGATTTTCAAAATCAGATCGCATCCATCAATGAAAGGATGGAGGGAAAGTTCGCCGTGGTGGAAGAAATGTTGAAGAAATTGCTTGAAGCCAAACCGAAGCCGGCGACAACGGAAGCAAAGGAAACTACCCGCAACAGTGGAAGAGGTGGGAACCCCAACACGTTTAGGGGAAGGGAAAATACATAAGTTGAGATCCTGGAGGGAGAAGACGGAATGCCTCTAGAATCACTTTCTAGGGAGGAGAAAAGCATTGGCTACACAAGAAGGGGTGCTGAATTTGTAAGGAGAGGAGATGATTTAGATCGCCGGGGTATTATTTTGATAGAAGAAGATGGGATTTTGAGGAAGGATTTTAGTATGTGCGTCGAAGAGAATAGCATTACGATTGGGGGGGGGGGGGGTGGGGGGGGGGGGGGACCTCCTCATCGATGAATGGGAGGCTATGGAGGATTCAGGGCAAACAGGGGTGACCCAAAGGTGAGAAAGCTGAAAATGACCATCTTTGAGGGCTAGGACGTACAAGATGGAGCGATACTTCGCAGTCAACAAGTTGACAGAGGAGAACTTGACAGCAGCAGGACTGTGCTTAGAAGGGAAGGCATTGGCATGGCATCAATGGCGAGACATGAAGCGACCCATTCAGAGTTGGAGTGAGTTCAAAAATTGTTTGGTAGAACATTTCCGGACTGGCAGGGGAGGAGACTTCTACGAGCAAATATTCGCCTTGACACAAAAGGGTTTAGTAACGGATTACCGGGAGATATTCGAGTACCTTGATAGCGGATTAGACCGCTTTTCTGAGATAGTGCTAGAAGAAATTTTTATGAAGGGATTGACAACAGAGATCTAGGCAGTGGTTAGAGTAATGAGGCCTCGTGACTTAGGAGAGGCTATGGAGCTAGCTCAATTGGTGGAAGATCAAAGGCACCTAGAGAGAGAGATGTGAAGCAACAGCTCAGGAGGTCCGAATAAAAGGACCACCACCTTTCTTGCACCCAAGGAGCCGACCATGGGTACTCTTCGGGAGACTTCGAAGGAGAAGACTATAGGAGAAGGACCTGGGGACAACTTCAAGAAGCTCATGGAAATGAAATTACACAAGAAAAGGAAGAAGAGGCACTATTTTAGATGTAATGATAGGTATACACTAGGGCTTAGGTGTAAGAACCAAACTTTTCAGGTCTTCAGGACGTGCGACTACTCCGGCGTCGCATGTCGCTCACACACCGACGTCGCTTCTTCGCACGTCGTCTACACGATCTCTCTCGGCGTTAAAAGGAGACCGAAGCCCCTGCTCTTTGGTTCGATGATCACGACCCTCTCTCTCAATCTCTTGCATATTCGACGAATTTCCTTCCCTGTCGGATCGGAGGGAACTGCTCGCTATGAAGTAACTTTCGCCCTTTCACCCGCTTCTCCGGCTTCTTAGTGGCTGGTTGACTTCGCCCTTCGACGAACTCCCCTTCCTGAAGGATCAAAAGTTACAACATTTTGATCAGAAGCAAGGGAGTTCGCCGACTGTGAAGTTAACTTTCTTCCTTTCACGAGCTTCTTCGGCCAAATCCCTAAAATCCACCAAACCTCTCCCGAGCCCTCTCCGCCTCCTTCGACGCTCATTCTTATTGGGGCGGAAGTTACAACTTTTTGATCGGAAGTGACAATAGGAGTCTGATAGTTGTGAAGGTAAATTTCTCCCCTTCGTGCGCTTATTCGGCCAAATCCAATAAAGCTGTCGAACTAAGGAGAGAGAAGAAAGAGAGAGATT